TACTAGGAGTCACTATCGTAAGAAAGTGCTGCCTTTTATACTATGTTAAAAACGGCCTTTTGGAGTTACTGTTGTTTTGTATTTTGCAAAAATACTCAGACAGTTGTTCAATGTTGCGGCAATATTCTTTACAAAAATTTGACTGACTATTTCATACTAAAGGAAGCCGGCAGCCACTTCAGTGTCTGCGTTCAACGATCCATTAAAAGCAGATATCGATTCTATAGATCAAATATCATCGCTAAATATATCTACATTGTCATGCAATGTTGTACAATGGGAAGTATCTCAACTTTATAAGACCAGTTTAGTTCTCAAAAAACCAAACAATTTCGAAAATCAACTCTGTAAAGTAACGGTTCTTTTACACTGATTTTCGTTGTTTCCTTGCATGGCGTGGTAATTAATACAAACAACAGCCATTCTGTATAATCATAATGTTAACAAATCACGTCATACTCATTGAACAAAAATGTTATGGACTCACTATTGAATATCGTCACATTTACCGGCAGCGGGGAGGTTCGTACTGCAAAATATTTTCCGAGGTCTCAGAAGCGGCTCAAAACCGACGGTCGAAGAAAGCTTCTGAGATCGAGGGGAAATATAATTTTTCAGACTTTGACGATAAAAAAAAAGTATTTATTTTTTCCGTCCATGTACTTCATCAATTCCAACATTTTATGTTTGAGGCCGGACGAATTGTATATGTTCTAATATCAGTATATCTTGAAGGGGCATTTTCAGTCTGAATATATGCTGAATTTCGCATTTTGGATTTTTGGTATAGGAGTAAATTACATTTTGGGTTTGACACGAACTCCATTGAAGTTCGTTTAGTTTATTTTCCTATATTTGTATCGTTAGGATGAGTTTTTCAACTTCTTTATAGGTAGCTTTTTAAGTTTGATTGAAAATTGTACCTCAGTGAATTCACTCCTCGGACCACTCGTCAGCCAATGAGAAGGCTCCATTTACGTTACAGACCTGGGGTTATGGACAGGACAAAAATAAATTGTTATATGGTGTTCGTGGCATACGTGTAAATTTTATTTTTTGTGGAGGTATATAGTCAATCTTCGAATGGAGCTAGCTACGCCGGTGCAGCCATTACGGCATTAGATAACTAGATCCACTGACATGATTTTTGGAGTTGTTAAACTTTTGGAGTTTTTAGGCGCCCTTTTCATCATTCATTCCAAAACTAGTGCCCCTCGAAACCGGTGTCCCCCCTCAACTTTTTCATGTTTCCTACGCCCCTGGCGGCCATATAGTGTATTGACCATTGTGCTTGTATACCTTCTTCCCCTACCGCTACGACTGAGGTTGGATTCCTTTGTTATCAAGTTGTCAGATTTTAATTTCTCCTCAATGTCTTGTGTCTAAATGCTGCAAGATTCTTCGGGAACTTGACTAGAAATACATATAGTTATGACTTTATGCGGCTAACTGAAAATTCAAAACTTTAGAATTTACTTGGATTATATAGTTAGGAGATGAATTTTACTGGCTCTTCATGAACTGATAAAGTTAAACTCAGCTTACAGTATTTCAGTGCAGTGCAGTGCAGTGCAGTGCAGTGCAGTGCAGTGCAGTGCAGTGCAGTGCAGTGCAGTGCAGTGCAGTGCAGTGCAGTGCAGTGCAGTGCAGTGCAGTGCAGTGCAGTGCAGTGCAGTGCAGTGCAGTGCACCTACCTTCATTTTCCTTAATTCTTGAGAACGACTAAATATCTTAAAGAGAGCTTAAACATTAAAGAAAGATAATGGATGCTATTCACCACGGACCTCTTTCATAAATGGCCGACGAATTACTGTACTGTTCTAAAATTTGATATCACTCACAGTACAAATATGATTTGTATCCGATTTACACTTATACAAACAAAGGCTGCAGAAGCATCTGGAAATTAGGTGGGCACCACCAAAAAGGGCAACCTATCTGGTGTTCCCTGGGCTTTTCTTGGGGAGTATGACGAGGGTGAAATATATCCTCATGATACAATGTAAGAAACAAGCATTGCAAAGTACTTGGGAAAACATTGGATTTCTAAAGTTTCTGCTGAAAACCCGCGTTTCCTGTATTCTGACGTTTTCTGCCTATAGCCAAAAAGTTATAAATACGTAGTTTTGCATTGAAAACGGGCATTTTCAATCCAAAAAAGAGGACAATTGCAGAAAAGGGGCACTTTTCGATTTTGAGAAATGTGAGAGGATGCCGCCTGGCCGCTCCCCCAAAAATTCCCCGGCCTGTGACTACAAAACTAATCGGATTTCGCCGCGAGTCAACTGTTAGATATATCGTGCAAAGTACGAGATTAACCTCACCGAAGACAAGGGAGGCACCGTATGTCAAGAGAATTACCAAAAATAGTTGTGCTACTCATTCTATTCCAAGAAAACAAATAACAATTATTCAATAAGATGAAACTTGGGCCTCAAGTAGTGCAATGTGTCTAACACATTGTGGATGGGCTTTACCGCACCTCAAGGGAGCAGAGGTATCTGAACTGATTGAGCTGTCCAGTGTAAATAATATTAGTAGTGTCGATCTTTGGTTTTTCGTTTCAGAGATTAGAACTCGAACATTGGATAAATGTATAAGTACTGATTTAATAACGTTCTGAGGAATTGGAACTGCAAGTTTTCCTCTTTTCAAAAAAGTAACAATTTATGAATATACGTTGGATAAGTGTAAACATTTTATATTAAACTACGGGGCACACGGAGATTGCATACCTTAACTATGTATCATGCATAAATTATACATAATTATATTTACACATGTGTATAATAGATTTTTTCAAGCTTAAAGGCTAAAGCAATAAAAAACGTTAACAAATCAAAAGACTTTGCCTGATTTTGTAATGTTCGTGACTGCATGTGCGACGTTAGCTCTCCCTGTTTAGGGAGTGGTCATTATTTATGGGGAGGGGGGGGGTCATAAAAGTTTTTGAACTTAAATACCATGTCTAAAGTTCTGATTTCTATAATCACAAATAGCAAAAAAGAAAACTCTGAAAATGCTATTTCCAACGATCTAGAGACTCAAAATTTTCAAAATTTCCCTGCTCGGCGCCAACCATGGTAGCGCCTCGCGATCGTGGGAGTCGGGCCCACTAAGTTTAACAAACTTTCAACCCCCTGAGTGACCCAGTTGTGGTATTTACATAAACATACCATGCAAGTACACTTAACTGATCAGATTCGGTCTATCAACGCACAATGTAACGCTGTATATCCAAAAATCTGTTTAAAAAAATGCTCACATTTCAGTTAGCCTGATTTAAGTTACTACCTTTCCTGCTTTTTCTATATTTGTACAGAGGTTAATTTTAACTAGGCCTACATTTGTCTATTTAACGCTATATATAAAAATACCGCACTAGGAATGAACTAAAAAGCAGGAAAAACAGCAACTTAAACCAGGCCAAAATTACACAAGATACATCCACAAACTTCGATTTAGCACCAGCGATTTCGGCAATTTGCAAACGATCTACCATGCATATTCTTAGATTTTGCGATTTACCTCATCGCGTTGTACAATTTACTGGTTACAGTTAAAGCCATATTTCAAAGTGATATGTAAATTTTTATGGAGTCAGAATAAATTATGTCCTGGATTTCTGGACATGACAGATTATTTCAAATTTCGGATTAATCAGCTCATCTCTAATTAGAGAATATTGTCGATTCGCGCGAGAAAATTATAGAGATAAATTACTATATTAATACGATTACATACCCAGGAAACAAAAAGCAAGTCATTAGGACGTTGGTTTTCCATCGTTCACCACCAAATACTACAGAGGAAACAAACAGAACATGAATACGTACATATATATACATGACATTGAATTGACTAAAAACAATTCCTTATACAAGCATGGCTTATTAATACAGCTTCGACCGTATATAAACTTACATTTGTAGATTCGGGCCGCCACATATCCGGCAAATCCACCAAGGCAGACAAACAATACCTACATTGGGTTAAACACGTCATTACATAATACGGTCAAATTCTAGTTTCATACATTATCATTATTCGGCTCACTCCCCATGACCCTTCGGGGCTTTACACTTTCAGTGACCGATTACATCAAGTATTATGCTTACCTGTACTACTTATACTTAGCTTAGACAATTTATCTTTACAACAACTGTAATATTGCAGTTCCAACTGTGTTATCCTAATCCATCCTCTCAACTTTCCCTGTGGCAGGAAACCGGAGAGCCTGGAGAAAACCCACGACTTTCGGCAGAACGACGACATGGAGACACTTTTCACACGAGTCCGTAGCGAAAATCGAAGCCAGGATCTCAGAGATGAAAGACGCTTGTTCTGACGACAGCGCCACCAAAACTCCACTACTGTGCCACTGAGGCCCCACCATTTTTACCAGGTAATTAGTCCCGTCAAATCACATCCTAAAATGCACTTTTTCGTCCATATTGCGAAAACTTTTCTTCAATCAATCATTTTATTAGCTAAGAAATCGTATAATCAAATACTCACTAAAGAATTTAACGACTTTTAAAGACTTTGTTCGCTTTTTCACACAATTCAAAGATTTTTCAAAGACCTTAAAGACCTGCATTCAAATTTAAAGACTTTCAAGGATTTCAAAGGCCGCTACGAACCCTGTGTACGGTATATTACAAATTAACTTTCCGACGAGGGTCTTTGCTCGAAACGTCGATCGGAAGTTCTGCATACATTTTAAGGTAGTTGTATCTCTCAATCCGTAGCTGCCTCATTGAATACAGAGGCAATATACTGTAATATTCCAAGTGGTAGGGGATTGAACCAGAAAACCGAAGGACCGCGGGCTAGGTTCTCAACGCCCTCAAGCGATCTCAGTCAGCTTGCTAGTGTTGACCAACACGGAGTAACATACATTTACATGTAATGAGTTCTTAATATACAGCTGTTTTAAGGAGGCTCACCAAAACAGTAGTCATTAGTGCTCCACGCACTGCAAAAAATGCATTTTTTCATTTGAGTAAATGTTACTCATTTTTTGAGTAATTGCACCAATTACTCAATAATTTGAGTATATTGCACTCTTTACTCATAAACGTGAGTAAACAACAACTCCGAATTTTGAGTAAAATTCTTTGAGTAACTGCTACTTAAAGAGAAGAGTATAAATTACTCCACACTGAGTACATGACAAAATGTACTTTACTCAAGGGTTGAGTAAATGTCACCAACTCAATATTTTGAGTAAATACACATTTTTACTCAATTTTGAGTAAATGAAGAATTTACTCAAAATCGTGAGAAGAGATGTACTCAAATTTTGAGTAAAGAGTAAACAACAGCTTTACTCAAGAAGATCAGTATAATTTACTCAGCACTGCCGGTAAATGACAACATTTACTCTACTTATATTAAGTAGTCAAGCCCGGTTGAGTAAATTTCACCAACTCAAATTCTTAATATAATACCGATAATTTATGACAAATCTTGTAAACAAACTAAGTATGAAACTATATACCAGTGGGAACTGCTATGACATAATTCAAAGCTTGTATACATTCATGCTGATGCAGTTTACTGTTGTTGTGTTAGGCTGGTACTTGCCGCCTTTTACCAGCACTTCTTTTGAGTGGCATGGTCAAACAAGCCGCTCATGAAAGGGGAGATGCATGAATGTATACCTTCTGTATTGACAATTTTCTATTTTGCATCATGGTCAAATATATAGCAAATGAAAGAAACAGTAGGTTAGTATATACAGTACATATGCATGCAGTATATTTTCCTCTATCTAAAG